GACTGTTCATCACTTTGATGGTCACTGAATCTTCGACAATGGCGATTCCAGATTCCTCACTCTTTTCCGCTTTTGCCTTTACCTCAAGCTTCTTCTTCACGAAATGCCGTTGTTAAAAAGTGATTTCTCCACTACTCTTCTTCCTTTGCATTTATTCCACTCTCACTAGTCGATCACCTTCCAATGCCTCTCAGGATTCTCCTCTGAACTCACCTCAAAGGTTTCTTTCTCTCCCTCTCACTCTCGATCTCTGTTTCTGGGTTTAGCTTCGCTTCTTAATTCTTATTCCTGTAAGATTTCTTCGTTTTCAATTTCAATTTCTCCGTTTAGCTATCTGTGAAAAAACCCTATTTATTTTCCGAAATGTTCATTGTAGATTGCAGATCTGGGTTAATCAAGTACATGGGCACACATTTTCTTCACTATTCGTTTCTAAAATTAGTAACTTTCTTAATTTGGGGTTTTGAAGATTGCGTATATGATTTGAACTCGGAATCTTCAACCACTGAGTGAGAACCCACTCACTGGCATTGAATCGATGTGTGCATTTAGCTTCCTTAAGATTTCGATTGATAATCTAGTAATGTCGCATTGGATTTATCATCATCATTCCTCACTATGGTTCTTGAGACAATTAGCCTAAAACTTTTTGCTTTTAATGTATGTGGAAGTTGATTACGCTTTTGTGTGTTTCTTTACAACGACTTTTTTAGCTTTTTTCGTTCCACTTATGATATTCATTATTAAGGAAGCTTTCCATTGTGTTTATTTGTGTTGATCTTTTACTCCTGAAGCCTGTGAAGAGTTCTGTCATTCTTGTGTACTTTTTCATAAATACAATTCTAATTTAGAACCTAACTGTTATGTGGCTCTAAATCAGAATTTGATCTGTTTTGTGTTCTCTTGCAGTTGCAGTTGGATGAGAAAGCTTTGATGTGAGTAAGCCGAAAGATTATTTCAAAGGACAGATGATGAAGATTGTTACGGCCTTCATTTTTCTTTTGGTCTCGCCTTTTGTTTCCCGTTGTTTGTCTGCAGACATTGACTCAGACAAGCAAGCACTGCTTGAGTTTGCATCTCTTGTTCCTCACAGTCGCAAACTCAACTGGAACAACACAAATCCGATCTGCTCTTCTTGGACTGGCATCACCTGCTCCAAGAACGATGCTCGTGTAATCGCACTCCGTTTGCCTGGATCTGGACTTTATGGACCTTTGCCAGAGAAGACATTTGAGAAGCTTGACGCCCTCAGGATCATTAGCCTTCGATCTAACAACCTTCAAGGGAACATTCCACCTGCCATTCTCTCCCTTCCTTTTATCAGGTCACTCTACTTTCATGACAACAACTTCTCTGGTACTATCCCTCCCACTCTTTCTCAACGCCTTGTTAATCTTGATCTCTCCACCAACTCGCTATCGGGCAACATTCCTGCGAGTCTACAAAACCTTACCCACCTCACCGATCTCAGCCTACAAAACAATTCTCTCAGTGGGCCAATCCCTGACCTTCCTCCTAGCCTAAAATACTTGAATCTGAGCTTCAATAACCTGAATGGGTCAATTCCATCTTCTATAAAGTCCTTCCCAGCATCCTCGTTTCAAGGTAATAGCCTCTTATGTGGTGGTCCCTTAACTCTATGCCCAGAAAACACCACTGCACCATCTCCTTCCCCCACTTCACCAACCAAAAGTCCCAGTCCAACGAAAAGTCCCGGTACATCCAAAAGAGTTCTCTCCACTGAAGCTATTGTCGGCATTGCAGTTGGAGGTTCGGTTCTGTTGTTTATCATTCTTGTCATCATAACCCTTTGCTGTGCCAAGAAAAGAGATGGCGGACAAGACAGCACTGCAGTGCCAAAAGCTAAACCCGGGAGGAGTGACAACAAGGCCGAGGAGTTTGGAAGTGGGGTGCAGGAGGCAGAGAAAAACAAGCTGGTCTTCTTTGAAGGAAGTTCATACAACTTTGATCTTGAAGACTTGCTCAGAGCCTCAGCTGAGGTTCTAGGAAAAGGAAGCTATGGTACAACGTATAAGGCCATCTTAGAAGAAGGAACCACGGTGGTGGTGAAGAGGCTGAAAGAAGTAGCAGCTGGGAAACGGGAGTTCGAGCAGCAGATGGAAGCCGTTGGAAGGATCAGTCCACACGAGAATGTAGCTCCTCTCCGTGCTTATTACTTCTCTAAAGACGAAAAACTACTCGTGTATGATTACTACCAAGGGGGCAATTTCTCTATGATGCTTCATGGTAATGATATTTCACATGTTTTTGCAATTATTGAAAAGAATGTGCTACACATTATTTGCTTTAAAGTTAAAACATTTTTGATGAATTCAATGCAGGAAGCAATGATGGAGGAAGAGCGGCGTTGGACTGGGAAACAAGGTTAAAGATCTGTTTGGGAGCAGCAAGAGGAATTGCTCACATCCATTCTGCATCTGGTTCTAAACTCCTACACGGAAACATCAAATCACCAAACGTCCTCTTGACACAAGACCTCCAAGTCTGTGTCTCAGATTTCGGTATAGCTCCATTGATGAGCCATCACACCTTGCTCCCATCAAGAAGCTTAGGGTACAGAGCACCAGAAACCATAGAAACCCGAAAACACACTCAGAAATCCGACGTGTACAGCTTCGGTGTACTGTTGCTAGAAATGCTGACAGGGAAAGCAGCCGGGAAAACGACGGGACACGAGGAAGTAGTGGACCTCCCCAAATGGGTGCAGTCAGTTGTGAGAGAGGAATGGACCGGAGAAGTGTTTGACGTAGAGCTCATCAAGCAGCAACACAATGTTGAAGAAGAGATGGTGCAGATGTTGCAGATAGCAATGGCTTGCGTCTCAAAGCATCCAGACTCTAGGCCTACCATGGAGGAAGTTGTTAACATGATGGATGAGGTTCGACCTTCTACAGGTTCTGGTCCTGGTTCTGCCAACAGAGCTTCCTCCCCGGAGATGATCAGAAGCTCTGATAGTCCGGTTTAGACTTATTTTTAGCTCAAATCATTATTAATTTTGCTTTTTCTTCTTCGTAATAAACATTTTCGTAGTTGACTACTTGAGCATAATTTCCTCCAAAACATTATCTGGAAAAGTAATGTAATTGAAATCCCTGTCCTTGATTGTAATTCCTAGATTGTTTTTTTTTTTTTAGTGTGTGGGGTTCGTAAAGTATATTAATTACACAAATTCACTTATCTTGTTTGGGCCTTTGTGCCATATTGGAGCCCATTAAAATGTTGAGCACGTGGGGTCCTAATAAGATCAAATGGAAATAATAAAAAAGTAGTAATTTATAGGTCAGACGGTGCCGCTGAAGGAATCAGAAGCTTCGGGGTCAGACTCGTAGATTCTCTCTGACTATAAAAGTAAAGGCAAAGTACAGAGGAGAAGGAAGCTTATTCGCTTTTCTCGATTTCTTCTCTCTCTCTCGTTGCCGCAGTCACCAGAGAAAGAAGTTCGGTTTTTTTTTCAGATCCAGTTCCACTACTTTCAACTTGGTTAAACCCTAATCTCTTCTCTTTCCTCGATTTTGTTTTACACCAGTTCTAGGGTTTCTTAATCGATCACTTAGCGTTTGGTTTCTGAATTGTCGTCTTTTTCTCTGATCTGCTGTGTTCTGAGTTTTGATTGGTTGAATTTTCTCCTCTGATGGTCTTGTCTTGTTTTGATTCCGCAGATTTGTCGTGTGTGAGACATGGCTTCGAAGAGGATCCTGAAAGAGCTCAAGGATCTGCAGAGAGATCCTCCTTCAAACTGCAGCGCAGGTAAATCTCTTCCTTTTCCCAATAATGAATGGTTTTGAAATTAGGGTTTGATATATCATACTTTGGTTTCATCAATTCCAAATTATGCTTCTGAATTTGATGGTAAAGCTTTGATTTTGACGCTGGTTTGTTTTGTTAGCTGTTGCATGCACTCAAATTATGAACCTTTGTTTGGTCCTGTACTATATAGAAAACTCGTTAACTATTTCTTGATTATCTTTTAATCTTAAAGAGCTAAGCATGTTTTCAATGTTATGCCTAGTTTTGTAGCTTCTGTTAATATGTCTCTGTTATTGATGTGGTTTTGTTGGTCTGAGTTGATGAAGAAATTGAGTGTCTTACTGTAACGTCTTTTGTTTTAGGTCCTGTGGCTGAGGACATGTTCCATTGGCAAGCAACTATCATGGGACCTCCTGATAGTCCCTATGCAGGAGGAGTGTTTTTGGTTACCATTCACTTTCCTCCGGATTATCCTTTCAAGCCACCAAAGGTTTGTTTTTTTCTTCTCATTAACTGTTTGCGGAATCGAAGTGTATGGTCATCGGGTTTATTAGAGAGAGATCTTACGATGATGTGTATAATCTTATTGTGCAGGTGTCTTTCAAGACTAAGGTGTATCACCCGAACATCAACAGCAATGGAAGCATTTGCCTTGATATCCTGAAAGAACAATGGAGTCCTGCTCTTACCATATCCAAGGTTTGAGTTTTGTTTCTCTACTTTAACACGATTATCTTCCAAGAAGAAGACGATTTAAGCCAATTCTGTGTGTGTTAATGCGTGTGATTGATGCTTGTGGAACCAGGTGTTGTTGTCGATTTGCTCGTTGCTTACCGACCCGAACCCAGATGATCCTCTTGTTCCGGAGATAGCTCATATGTACAAGACGGATAAATCCAAGTACGAGTCCACCGCTCGAAGCTGGACTCAGAAGTACGCCATGGGATGATAATAAGACAAGCAAAAGGATCTGTTATGTTGTTTCGCATCTAAATTATAAAACTCTTTTTCTTTTGGAAAAAAAATGCATTTGTTGGGTTTAGTAAAACGCTATTATGTGATCATAATCGAGCAACTTAGATGCTCTGTTACTCCTCTTCTCTACTGATATTCGCCTATTTATTTTGATTTCTGTGTCTACTTTTACTCTTGTTTATTTGCCTATGCAACTGCAATTGCAACCTCCTCTTCCTAATGTATAATCTTTAGACCCGTATTAAAATACTTTAGCATCCAGAGAAAAGGAGATAGTTTCGACTATTTTTGTTATGGTGGATTGGTTTTGTGTTATTTGTCATCAAGAATAATACTTTCTTGTTCCTAGTTGCTTTCTTCTTCATTTCGCCCTGGAACCTAACTATTAAAAGCAAGCTTAAACAAAACAAAAAAAAGTCAATAAGGCGAATTAATTATTTTCTTTACTGTAATTAATTGCATTAACAAATAAAGAGAATCTTGAAAAAGAAAGAAAATTGAAAAAAAAAGAAGGTGGACAGAGAGGAAAAAGTAAGGGTAAAGTTGTCATTATGAAGAAGTGGGAAATTGGGTCTGACTCGGTCATAATGGGAGGGAGCTTCTTCTCCAATCAACGATTCCTCTAATTTGGTATCCTTCTCACACGACTGCGTTTTCTTTCTTTCCTCAATCAATCTCCAGACCTGAG